ATGCCTAACATTCCTTCCTAATGTAAACGCAACACCCTTCTCACTTATAATCTGTCTCACGGAGCCTGTTTCTGCACTGACACATCTGCCTTTTTTAACAGCGTTTGAACAACTGAAGGGCACCTACAGCCAGGGGTGCAACTGCGTCACAATCACTGATTTAACACTAATTTTGATTTATAAAAATGGGAAAAAAGTTATAGCCGAGGACGTCTTAATCCAGAGGTTGCAGGTTTGATCCCAGGTGCTAAACAAAATATTTCATGAGAATGTGTGGCTGCTGAAATAGAAAATAATAATAATAAAATGAACTGTAGGCTTAAATGTTTTATTACACCATGAAGTAAACTGATTAGTACAACATAAATTTAGAATATTAAAAATTTTGACTATATTTTAAGCACTGTTACAAATGGACAGTGAATTTAAAGGCTGCAGCCTTTCTCATCGGGGCAGTAAAGCAGTCGCCCAATCATGCATTTGAAATGTGAATCAGCTGTTGGGTCTGGTGCTGCATGGTCCTGTCTTTCTTCCCCATTTCCGCCCTGCTAAACCTTAGCTATGAAGTGATCTTATTGTTTTACAAATTAAAGATTTTTTTTGGCTCTAGACCAGAACTTACTGGCTGTTGTATATCTCTAATCCTTTTTTATAGCAGCATGTGAAAGCCTTTATAGAGATGGCATTCCCTTACAGATTTCTGCTCTGCCTGCCCTTCTCTGATCCTGCCTCTGTTTTTGTGTTCACACTTAAATATTTAAATCTCATCCAGCCTTTACTCGGTCTTCAGTAATAACTCCTCACCATCTTGTGTCCGTTGTCAGCTCAAGGCTCTGCTGCTGTCAGAGAAACAACACGGGCGAGCTGGGTGGTTTATCTAAGACGAGCAGCAGAAGCTGCCCTGTCGTCAGCGCCTCGGCTCTCCTGGTGCTATCACTGGGAGGAGAGGACCTGCAGTCAAGGAAAGCTGTTGTCTCTTGACTCATTTGTTGCCTTTGACGTACATTTGTTGCTTCCTTGATAATCTCTCCACCAAACTAAAAGCGTCGGAAAATGCAGAGTTATCCACAGTTCTCTTCAAGTCCTTGGTTAAACTAATCACATCAGAGAAAAACACTCAGATCATCAATGCATTTAGAGACGGGCCTCTATCTTTTGACACGTTATAGTGTGAACATAGTTATTTTCATTTTATGGCTTTAAGGCTCTTTTGTGGCATTATTCTAAACAAGACTTTAAAAAAAAAACTTGTGAAAGGGGCAACAGATATTGTCTAAAGATTTAGAAATCTATGAAATTCTATTATATTCAAATTAGACCCTAAAATTAAATTGAAAGAAGATAAGTTCACAATTACATGAAATCATTATATAGTAGTCTCTTGTTTATTGGGGAGGGATCCGTACTCTGAAGCCCCACAATAAGTGAAAAACCGCAAAGTAGGAAAAGTAGTACAAGTAGTAAGGAATTTTAAACCCTTCCTACACTCTTGCAATATTCTAAACAATGTTTCTAAACTCTAAATGCTCTTAAAGAGCACAGAATATTATGATCTCAGCTCTCTGCCACGGCTGCACTCTGCGCTCTTGGCCACGCCCACTTCTCCGCTGCAGAACAGAGATCGACAGAAGGAGGGAGGAAGAGCAGCTGGAGGAAGCTTCTCCTGCAGTGTGGGCTGCACACAGGTGCAGCAGGTGTTAAATAATTTAAAATAATTTATTTTAAATAAAAAATTCCATGCTGATCGTGTGGCTCATCCATCAATCAGCCAATTGTGTGTCATGTCCAGTCTTATTTTGAAAAACCGCAATAGAGCGAGTCCGCGAAAAACGAACCGCAAAGTTGTGAGGGAGTACTGTAGTTTGATAGATTGATATTTATTGTTCCCAAAGGGAAATTCAAAGATCAAAACACAAGAAATATTTACCTACATTATATTACAATATAATATATTGTATTATATTATATATTGCCTATAATTATTTATCTATTAGATAAAATAAAATAAAAAAAATAATGCTTTTTTTTTTGTTTTTACTTTTTTGTGCGTAACAAATGGACTACCATAATCAAATTGTTCTGATGGTGATTTATGAATCTTTGTGCTGTCAAAAAGTAAACTTAATTTAAATCCATTAATGTTGTTTCCATGCTCTTATCTTGAAGCAGTGCTGACCTCCAATAAACACCCCAAAGCTCAACGGGCTTCTGGATTGTGAAAGTTCTGGTTTAGTCTCCCACACCTGCTTTTTTGTGTGAACCACCCTTGATTTTCTGTAATTTGATTAAATTTGTTTCTGACGGGGAGATGTTATAAAAAGCTGATAGCAACGCTGTTTACATTTTGTGCTTGCTTGATCTGATCTCAGTCATCCTCACATTTGTGGGTTTTGTAATTTTGTTTAAGGATCTTTTATAAGTGTTTCCACAAGTGTTTACAGAAAGCAGTGATGGTGTTATTTACAAAACAGCTCATTCGTGTGCTGCCGGTGCTTAGCACTTTGTCCACGACAGAATGGGCGTCTAAGAACATTTTCCTTCAATTGTAAGTCAGTTTTTTGACAAAACACTTGACTCTAAGAAAGAAGACGGTTTTGGCCAGTTTGACGATAAATCATAATTTTGTAAAAGGTATTATTTTGACATGCACAATTTAACACTCTGGCATCACAAACTTATTATTTGTATTTGTTTTTTGCAGATATATTGATTTGGGGACCTCATTGACGGTTCAGTTTCCTGTTTAGTAACACTTGTACTGCTTTATGTGTCATCCTTTGTCTAAGTCCAGCTTAGGATCAAAGGCATAAAGGTAACAGAAAAAAATTAACGATTCTTACCAGCTCAAAGTTTGGTGTGGTAGTATCTGAGACTCATTTAAAACACATTTCCCAAGTGTGTGAGGTTGGCATTTAAGGTTCAAGGTTCTTTATTGTCATTTTCATCACATGCGGTGCATGAGATGGAACAAAATTGTGTACTCAGGGTCCTAGTTCCACCCAAAAATATAAAATATAAAAGAAACAGTATACAAGGATCTAAGATATACACTAAGATAGGCGTTAAATGAATACTAAACAATTCACTAAATATCCAAGATATTCGCTAAACGCTAATAATGTAAAACAATACGGTGTATTAAACAGCAGCCCGAACATGAGTCTGTAGTGAGCAGATGGGTATGAATACAGCAGCATAAAGGCAAGAGATCAGCAGCACAGATAAGTCACATATCACCAATTAAAGTGGCATTACTGTTAGAGTAGTAGTTAGCAAAAAAGCTCATGAACCATTCAACAGATGTTACTGAAATTTTCAGAAAGTAATCAATGTGCAATCATAACAATCAGTTCTATTCAAGATGGCCACCTCAGAGTCACCGTAATGCCACTTTGATTGATATGTGCTGCTGATTATCCATGCTGCTGATTTATTTCATGCTGCTGTGCTCATTCATACTCCTCTGCTCACACAGACTCATGTTAGTGCTGCTGCTGTTCAGCGTATTGTTTTTGTACTATTAGTGTTTAGCATATTTCTTAGATTAGTGCATTTCTTAGTTTAAATATTAGATCCTTAATACTGTTTCCTTTACTATATATTTTTTTGCTATTGTTGGATGTAAATGAGACACTGTGTACACAGTTTCGTTCCACCTCATGTACCACATGTGATGCGAATGACATTAAAGTAACCTTGAACTTGAACTCAGCTGGTTAAATGCTAGGCCTTTAATTTCACCTGATGCGCTTGTGCCTTTCGAGTACGATGAAGCTGACAAGTTATGGGTAAGCACTCAGTGTTATGTATTTTACATCCCTGAGCTGGGTCATGGGTAGTTGTGTGAACTATAAATATAGGTATTGACACAATCAGCAGAGTTTTCACATTCTTCCACTCTCTGTCTCTCCGTCTTCCTCATTTTTCTTTCACTTCCTTTTCTTTTTCTTACCGAAATTTGCATCAAACATGAGAAAACGTTGCCTAACTAAGAGGGCAAAAAGGGGTGAACTTTAGATTTGGATCATTTAACTGTGAGGCGATGAATCGTGTGTGAAAATATAGAAATTCAAAGAAGAAAAGGAGAGATGACAGAATATCGAAGGAGAGGAAGATAGGGAGTCCCCACCCTCTCCCCCTCTCTTTAGGCCCAACTCCCCTTTTCGTGGCTGGCCTTATTTGGTCATGTAGCTGCAGCTCGAAGGGGAGAGCAGGGATGGACAGACTGTTCTTTTCCTCCTCTCTTCACCCTCGCAGAAAAGAAAGCGGTGGTCTGATGAGAGATAAAATCAGAAAAAAGAGCCAGGACTCGGAGGGAGGAGACGAAATGTGTCCTCACTAAAACACGCGCCGTGAAAGTCCCATTCATTTGTCGCTCGCTGCAGAAGAGGAACTCTCCTGTGTCAGAAGAGGAACTTTGCTAAAACTGTACCCACATGCAAATGAAAGGCCTGTTGTCCCTGCCAGCAACTTTCAGCAGGGTTATGAAAATGATCAGCAAATTTAGACGCTACAGCAGCTGGTTGTTGCTGTGGGGACGTGCTGCAGCTCACCACTTCTCCTTAGAGTGTCGATTGCAAACAGAGAGTTTATTTAATTGTGGTGTTACTTATCGTAATCTTAACCACAGGATGCAGCCACATTTTACTTTGCATGTGCAGCACAAACGCACACAAACACATGCTGTGCTGTCCCTCAGCTCCCCCCTCCTCAAGCAGAAAAAGGCCTTTGATCTCCATTCAGGAGAATTATTAATATGTGTTTGAAGAGCAAACACACTCATGTCTGGGTCGTCTACAAAGAGCAGTTAATAAAATAAAGTAAATAATAAATTTTACGCTGTTTTAACAACAGAGACGTTTAAAATTTGCTGCGGTCTGGACCTTTCAAAACTGATTCACTCGCGTTACATTCGTTGTCACGTTTCCACAGATTTCTCAGCTTCGTTTTCCATTTGTGTGATGTATTTGAATTTAAGCTTTGCCCCTGTGTCTGTGCAGACTGCCTCTTCAAACTTTGCCCCATGAACCGCTACTCAGCCCAGAAGCAGTTCTGGAAAGCAGCGAAGCCCGGAGGAAACACGGACGCGGTGCTGCTCAACAAGCTCCATGTAAATAAAGCAGCATGTTCACTTCACAACAGCCAGTGTGCAACACATAACGCTGCCCTTGAAACTCACAAGATGACAGAGGCCTTAGAAGGCTTAAAAAACTAGTTAAATGTGCAAAAGTACTGTCTGTGCACAACATAATACTCATTAAAAGTATTTCCTGTTTTAGATATATAATGGTACAACACTTCCAAGTTCTTCATATATAGAAATGTCTTTCTGCCTTTAAAACTCTCATTGTTCTTCTGCAACACAATACCATTTAAAGAAGTCTATTTAACTGAACACTCAACAAAATAAAAGCTCAAAATCGTCTCTGTTTCCATGGATATGTGAGCTCCAGTGAGCTCCAGGTAAAGTCCTTCTGCTGAGCTGTACATTCTTTGGCTCAGATTTCTGTTACTTTTGTGCCGCAGTGCTTTATTTGGAACAAACTGGATTCTTTTATTCGACGATGTCTTTGTAAAAACTGTGGCAGTAACCTAAGGTGCAGTTAGGATTTGTGTTGTTTGTTTCGCAGCATGCAGCTGACTTGGAGAAGAAGCAAAATGACTCTGAAAACAAAAAGCTGCTGGGAACGGTCATACAGTACGGCAACGTCATCCAGGTTTGTTTCTCATTAAACTCTTCCTTTTACCATAATAAACAAATGTTAAAGCTCCTGCTAAATTTAGTTAGTTTTATGTCTGTCAGTTGCAGTGAGTTATTTATGGGGCATGGTGGTACAGAGGTAATGGAAGGTGAGCCTGTGATATGGAGGTTGCAGGTCCCCAGATTGACACAATATGTGGGTGAGAAAGGTGAACCACCTTCATTTTACCTGAACATTTCATTGCGTTGTTGACCTTGTGCTAACCTGCAAATGACAAATAAACAACATAACATAACGTTTGCGCCCCCCCACTCCCCCTTTCCGGCTCTCTGCTCCACATGCGGTAAGAAAAAGGCAGAGTGAATTTCTCCATAGGGAATTAACAGAATATAATACTGATTGTTGTTATTCTTTTTAGAAATATTCTGTTTGTGATCAAAGCTTGACTGCATGGACTTCAATGTAGGATCCTACGTGAAAGTGAAAAAAAAAACATACTTTAATTAAATAAATATGACTTAATAAGCTGTAATTCATCTCTAAAGTTCCTAAAAGACATTAAACCAAACGCAAATCTAAATTTCAAACGTCTTGTTTAAAGAAGAGTTGCTTACTCCACCATCATTTATAACAAAATCTGTCTGTTCTGATGCGACTGCCACAACACTCTCATCTGTCTCCTCTTGTCTTTGTGTAGAATTTATTAGTTTTTCTATAAATTTTACAAACGGTTTGATATTCAGTACTACGCAAAAGTCTAGTCGTCAAGAGGCTGGAGTTTCTTGTAAACTAAAAAATTTGAAGATAACATATTACATAACATACAGTATATACTCAGTCTTTATGAAGAATATTTTAGTTTTTCTTTAGATTTTGGGGGTTACTTTGATTTATTTTAGGTCTAGGAATTGACCTTGCTATCCATTTAATTCTGATCTCTGAGTCATTCAGGCATTAACAGACTTCTAAACAATCAGTGGATGAACCAGTGTCTAGAGCTAATTACTGTAATTTTCGTTGTTTAAGTTGCAGTTTTTTGTATAAATTAGCATGCCTGTGACTTATACAGTGAAGTGACATATTTATGTTTCCCCCCATATTTATAACTCAATTTTTGCCTGAGATCTGATGATTTCATTCATTCTGACATGAAAAATATTGAACACTACCATTTTCAGCCGCTAGAGGGCCCTTGACTAGTATGGCAAGCCAAGTGTCTCATTAATATGTTAAAGTGGCTATTAATGAGACATTGGCTTGCCATACGAGCCACCTTCATCTTGCTCCAGAACTCCTGGAGCAAACGTCAGATCAGCTGCATTTTGCCGCACCGCCCAGGCGAAATGCAGCTGATTTGACCATTCAAGTGCATTTATTAAGGAAAAGTTCAACTGAGACATAACTTTACTATATTGTTGAACAAAAAAGTAATTGTTGTTAGGTGGTTATCTTGGTAAATTTTGAAGAAATGCACAGCGAGTCCTCCTTGTGCGTGCTCCTGCTTCCGCAAATCAATTTTTGAAATGCAGCTACTTTGACCGTTAAAGTGAATTTATTAAGGAAAAGTTAAATTGAGACACAGCTTTGCTATAATTTAAAGCAAACAAATAATTGTTTTTAAGTGTTAATCTTGTTTAATTCTTGTTAAAGTCCTTCTGTCGCGGCCGCCATTTGGCAGCCAATCGATTTTTGACACAAAACCCGCCCACGTTTCCAGGTGGTCAGCGGTGACGCATAACAAACGAGACGCATCAGCGGTGATGCATAATAGGTGTGACTTATACAGCCAAGCAACATATTTATGTTGTTTTCCACTTCAGTAGACTGATTTTAAATTAAGCCAATTATACGTCAGTGCGACGAGTACAGCGCCAAGTACGGTAGCCAACAGCTATCTTGCCTTCTTGTAGCTGTGTAATTAACACTGTGAGTCGCTAAAACAATATTTGTCAATATTCCTTTAGCTAAATCTAAAAATTTACCAGCATGAGACAAGAAAAAGTATTTTTGCACCATCCCAAAGAGCCATTAGCCGAACGCTTGTTTTCAAAGTTTTCTTATTATTACTGGAATTAAATTCTATCCCAACCTGCTGTTGTACATAAATGGCACTGCTAGCTAAAGTACCCATTACCACATCTGTTTCCACTGGAGTTCTCAAAATATTTTTCTTTACATTTTCTGTTTTATGTAGTTTCAGTTTTGAACTGAGATAATTTGCATGTACGACTCAGCCTTTTAGCTTTTTCAACTTTTCCTCACAGTTTAGCTTATGACAGTTGTTTAAGTTATTTACCATGAAAAATAGTTGATACCAACATTTCTTATGTGTACCACTCAAGTGTTGCTGAATACCACCAGTTGTATTTATACTTGTAGATAATCAACAGTTAGTTTTCTGTAAAGATGCAATTTCTAGAAACCGTTTATTTGTTGTGGATGAAGTTTTATTATGTTATGATCTGCTACAAGGAGAGCGAAGAAAATAAATGGAAAAGTTATCAAAGTTTTAAAAAAGCTTTAAAAATTACGAGAACATTTGGCTCCTTGGAAGCAAAGAATATATACATTAGTATGTTTTAACATGTGTGCACACAATATTGTTTTTTCTGAATTCTTGCCTGTTGTTGAGACACATTTAAAAGCACTTCCCACTTCTGATCCGTTTGTACCAAATATTCAACCTTCGTTTGTGTGATTCTTACAGCTCCTCCACCTGAAAAGCAACAAATACCTGACGGTGAACAAACGGCTGCCCGCGCTGTTGGAGAAGAACGCCATGAGGGTGATGTTGGACACTGCGGGAAACGAAGGCTCGTGGTTCTACATACAGCCCTTCTACAAGCTGCGCTCCATCGGAGATAACGTGAGTCCTCAGCTCTGTGGCGCAGGGTGAGAACTGAACTCCATGGGAATCTGTGCCAAACGGGCGTGAACTGTGCTGATGAGATGGGACTTGGTTTCTTACTTTTCAAATTGTTAATTGGGTTTCATTTGCCTTTTCTTTGGGAGGAATATGCTGGCCGTGGCTGATAATGGCTTTTATTCCAAGTTCTTATCAAAGAAAGATTAGCTTCCAGTTCTATATGTGTTGACATCGACTCACAACACGCTTGTTTCTCGTAAATAATGAATGCACAACACAGTCAGCATCTAGGCAATCTGCTCCTGGAAATAAACCTAACATTCTCATCATTACTGTTGGAGATATGCAGTTTTTAATAGGGGTGCACAATATTATCGGCATGGTATCGGTATCGGCCAATATTAGCGATAAAGTTAAATATCGGATATCGGCCATTCTATCAAAATAACTCACCGATATAAAAGGCGCTTT